CTATTTGTTTGTTATGATCAATTTGTTATTTTTGTTAAATCTGAAAGTAGGATTGTTGTTAAAAGTTTGTTCAGTCAAAATGATTTCGTTTTGTGTATTGTTTGTTTTCCTGCTTTTGTTGTTCATCATATGAGTTTCAGTTTGCATTTTCGTTCCCGTTCATTGTGATTCATGACGTTTCAGGTTTATTTTTGTTGTTGATATTGTTGTCTCTTTGCTCATTCATTTTTTGGTCTAAGTTAACCAGGATTGGTTCCCAATATGGTTAACTTATTCCCGTTAATTTGAAGCTGTATGATTCATCTGTGTTCATGAGATTTGTTGTTGAAATTTGTTTAGAAATTGGTCATATTTGTTGTATTTTGGTTGAGATTGATTAGGTGATTGGTTATAGCTGATGGGGTAGTTTGGTAAATTGCAGTACGTTCAGGGGTAAAATGGTAATTGCAGTAAGGTCGGAGGGTTATTTTTGAAATTAAACATTTGAACAATTGTTTAATATAATGGGGGACAAGACATAAATTAGTGGGGGAATAATGTAATTCTTTATGTTAAGCATGGGGGACAAGATGTAATGGGGTGGGGTTGATATAATTGTTTAATATAATGGGTGACAAGACATAATGTAGTGAGTGGGAATAATGTAATTATTTATGTTAAGCATGGGGGACAAGAGTTTAAAATAAAGAAAACATTAAGTAGTGGGGACAAAACATGCAATTGGGGGAATATTTCGGGTTGGGGATTCAAGACAAGAGTCTTGTTATATATAGAGTCATTTGACACATTTTAAGGGGCTTTAAGACTTGAGAGGGGACACTTGAACTTGAAAGATTTTTGAGGTTTACTTTTGAGGGAGGGAGACATTCTAAAAATCCTAAGAGAGTGTTAGAGAGTTTAAAAAAAGAGAAAACAAAAACAAAGTGAGAAACGAGTTTAGTTTCGGGTTTAATACACGCGTGGTTTGTTGCTGTTTAGTTTGTTTACAAACTTTTGGGTTTGCTCTATTGAGTTGTTCGGTTTTTCTTCAAAGTTTT